GGGGAGGTTCACAGAGGGCTGTGGGTCCATGCAGGACCCCGGCCGGGAGCGGGCAGAGGGGGGCTTGTGTCTGAGCCTGCACCTTGACCTTGGCCAGCAGGCTTGGTCCCTGTGAACCAGTTTCCCCGTCTGTCCAAAGGGGTGAGGGGGGCTCTGACTTCACGGGTCGCGTGAGGGTTGTGGAGGGAAGGGTGTAAGCCCCCGGGCGCGTGGGAACCGTGAGTCCCACGTCCCTGGTTTCCCTACGTGTGTGACGCTGGTTCCCAACACCCTCTGGCAAACCAGCCGCGGGCCCCTTGGCGTGGCTGGTGCTTGGTCCAGGCTGCGGTCTGGTCTGGGCAGAGGGGATGGGGACACTCCCACCAGGGCCCCCTGGGACGGAGCGTTCTGGAAGCACCTTCCTGCCTTCCCTGCTTGGGACCCTGGTGCCAGGAGACCACCAGGACGGGCAGCAGGAAAACCCCGCCTCCCCTCGGTCCCGCCTGGCACCGGGGCCGCGCTCACCAGACGAGGATGAGGTTGACCTCGGTGTTGGGAGGGTAGCTCTCCAGCTGCACCAGGAAGACGAAGAGCAGGGGGCCCAGGAAGTTGACCAGGGCGATGACCCCAGGCGGCAGGTACTGCAGCAGCACAAACAGGGTCTCCTGCCAGGAAAGCAGGGAGGGGGCGCCATGGGCCGGGGTGCCCGGTAGCTCCCCTCCCCTACACCCCCTCTAGGGTAACTCTGGGGCAGGCCCCGCGCCTGGAAGGCCCCGGGCGATGGCGGCCGAGGGCTGTCCACAGGGCGCGCCGTCCGATGGGGCCCTGACTGGGCGCGTCGCTTCAACCACTCTGCACTCAGCTTCCTCAGCTACCACCCGCCTCTGCCTCCTCCCGCGGTCTGGCCAGGACTGAACCAACAGGTCAGCTGCCTGGCACCTCCTTGTAGTCCTGCGAGTACTTGGTGGCCCAGAAGATGGCGCTGATGGCCCCGACCACCAGGAGCCCGATGAGGAAGTTGACCCGCAGGTAGGAGAGCAGATGGCAGGCTCTCTGGGTCCGCGTCTGCTGCTGCGCCAGCTGGAACCGACGCCCCTCCTCCAGCTCCAC